GTTTATTATATAGAAAATTTCTTTCAACATCTCTTTTTAATTTTGTTGAAAAACATTAAATATTTATACTAACTTTCATAGTATTTTAAATTATAATATGATTTTTGTTATTTAATTTTATTAATGTTTTTTGTCGACACTAACTTAAAGAATCGAATAAAAAACATTGGTTTTAAATTCTCAGAAGATGAACAAATTTCGTTATGAAAAGTTTTAATTATTATGACTAAATTTTTACTTCTAGAAACAAACTTCATAGTTTTGTTTTTCCAGTTGTTTTCTTTATTTTTTTTTCTACCGAATGGCTTCGAATTGTTGTGATGTCGTTCGAGAAATATCTATGTCAATAAAATAGGCTAATGATGTTTAGTTTGTCTTAGCTTTTAAAATGAGTTTATAGATATCAAAATATAAAATAGACAAGGAAGAGTGCATAGCAACAGGGTTCGAAATGAAACATCTGACATGAAGTTAGTTTGTTTTTTCAACTTCGAAAACAGATTTCATTTGATTTTAATGTTTCGTAATTAATTTTCTAGAAGCAATTTTAATTGATAAAGTCATATTAGTTGACCAAAAAAAAGAAGATTTCAATCAGCATTAAATAGTGCCATTTTAATCTTTGTTACTCTAATTTTTCGTGAAAATTTCTTAGATGAATTTCGTATCTTGCAACTGATACCAATCAGAAATCTTTATCATATGAACGATTTGGAATTTTAATTTAGTTAATAAATAATAGCAGAACAGTCATTCGACTCAATGATATGCCTCATCTACACACAAGACTAAATGCACTATCAACTACATTAACTAGCATGAATCTTACTAAAGTATAATAGTGTCACTAAAAATAGTAAACGATATGGTTCTTTGAAATTAGTCAGCGAATATTTTATTCCTACAAGCTTCTGTTAGTAAACAAAAGTTTTTAAGAAGTTGGAGTACTCACGAAGATATTTCTTGTTCAACTCATAATCACTACGCTAATGAACTTGTTACAATGTTCGAAATAAATGATTGCAATGTTTCTGGACTTCTATTGTGCAGAAATCATTTTTGTAAAAGAAATATACTTTCTATAGTGTCATTTTAAGTTGGACCAGATCGAGCTGGTTCAGGAAAGAGTGGTCCGATTCCGTCGCTTAATACATAATCATTTTTAGAAATCAAAAAAACGACTAAAGTCATACATTCAGTTAACATTAAAACTCTGCAAAGTATTTGTTAGGTTTTTGTTCGTAAGTACCAATCACAAGTCAAATCAAAGACAATTTCTATCCATTTCTCCTTAGAACAAAATCGCTACATCATCAGTATGTGACACGTCGTTTGTATATGATTAACTAAAGATTGAAGATTTCAGCTATTTATTAACTACTCTTAGGAAAAAGTTAATACAAAATCTATTTCTGGTTGTTCATTTTTTCATCATTTATTGTTATCAATAATAATCTCATAAGCGAGATTTGTCATTGAAAGTTGTGACATAGGCATTAGCAGCATCAGAATTTTCAGTCGAATGAAATAGTTGTAATTGTATTTATCATAAATGATATCAAATAAGAATGTGTTATAGAAAACTTGTAGATTCAAACTTAATTTGGTCTAGATCTCACAAAACACAAAACTTTTTAAGAGGAAAAGAATCATCGAAACATAATTCATGTTGTATGTGTTAGAATTCGTATGGAAAATATTTCCTTTCGTAAAATCAATTATCTTTCACATTGAATAATGTTCGAAATGCTTTGAAAATATACAAAATTGATTTGATCTGTCTGTCCTAAGGCGTCATCTATCGATTCACTTTTCCTATTCATATCTTTTACTTGCACCAATTATATTAATAATAAATTTGTCGTTATATTTTCTTCTTTCTTGGTTGCTAGTTAATGCCTGAATCATCTGTAAACTTTTATTCAATTCTTGCTGGTCTTTCGGCTTGTTTTGCATCCGTTTTTGGTAAATTAACATTTAGTCAACCAACATTTTCATCAATATTAACAATTGTTTATATTATTCTCTTTATCTTTTCTAATGTCTTTATGTGGCGTTGTTATTCAAAAGCATTAAGTTTATCAACAACAAGTATTCAACCAACAATTGTTACTAAAACTAGTAATTTTCTTCTTTCTGCTTTGGTTGGTTTTATATTCTTTTTTGAACCTATTAATTTGACGTGGTTTATTGGTTTTATATTAATTCTTATTGGTGTTTATTTAATATCGACTAAAAATGACAACACCAACACACAAATATCATCCCATATCGACTGAAGATGATGATGGACGACCATCAGCATCTATTATAGAATTAACAAGTGGAAAACCATCTATAGATGAATATCGTTCAATTGCTAATTATCAATCCGCTTTTTCATATTCAAGACAAATTAATCTTCATACTTTAGCAGGTCAATAGATTTGTTAATAATATTTTTAAAAAAAACAACCAAGTAATTTATATATAATTTTGTTTGTTTTTCCTTAGAAAAACGTCCATTAGTTGGTATTGAAAAATTAGCACATTATTTTGTGATTCTTTTTTGTGCAATTTTTACAATTCTTCTTTTACCTTGGTCATTGATTTTTGCTGTTAAAGTAAAATGTTTTGTTTTGTTTTTTATTTTCAAAAATAAAAACATATTTAAATATTTAGCGTGTTCGTCAAAATGAACAATTAGTTGTTTATCGTTTGGGTCGTGTTCAAACTCCAGCTCGTCGATCAGGTTTAACTTTAGTTTTGCCATTTGTTGATTATATTAAACGTATACGAACAACACAAAATAGTCTTGCAATATCTCCTACTCAAGTAAATAGAAATTTGTTTTCTTTTAAGAATTATTTATGAATACTTTTAGATTCTTTGTCAAGATAATTCAATAATCGAAGTTAATCTTTGTGTTGAATATAATATTGATGATCCAATACTTGTATCAAATAGTCTCAATGATATAACAATATCATTGAAATCATTAGCACGTTCAACATTAGTTTCATTAGTTAGTAAAACTGATGGAATGAAAATTGAACAACAAATTTATACTATTGAACTTTCACTTAAAGTACAAAAATAACTAAAACTCTATTGTAAAAAAAAATTTAATTTTTTAGAATGAACTAAATCATTTTGTTCGTAAATGGGGCATTGAAATAGCTAAAGTCAATATGTGAGTAAAAATTTTTCACAAAGAAATAAATTCTTTTTATTTTTTTTGGTTATCTTTTCTTTAATTAATTAGTGTACAAACAAAAATCATTTCAACAGCAGAAGAAAATCAACATAATCAAGCATCTTTACATCCTGCACTTGATGTATTTACAAAAGTTTTTGCCGGTATTATGCAGCAGCAACAACAACAACAACAACCTATGAGTGCGCCAATTACAGGTAAGAAATATGAGTTTGGATAGAATAAGTTTTCCTTACATTTTGTGAAATACAATCTAAAAAGAATGTTCAAGTGTAGAACTAGAAATTTTGATCTACTTCTCCCACAGACTATGACAGACATTGTTGATATACCATCAAAAACCATAGGTAAATAAAACTTCACTATAGTATATAAGGTACTTCCTTATTGCACATATGGAATAGTAAGTGAAATGATACTGAAGAGATATGTTCTAAAATGTATAGAATAAAACAATCTCTCTGTGATTAGTAATAGCAGCTACATTGTATTTCACATTTTAATCCAATGAGAACTACAATAATAGATTGTAGTTTTATGTTAAATAAAAAAAAAAAACATTTTCATCAGTTTTGAATAAAATTCGGTGAAACATACTTTTGAAAAGATTTGAATAGTTATGACATGGTAAAATTTATTTCATTGAAAAAATGTTGATTTTTTAGCATCAGCTGATTAAGTAATGAGAAAGAAGAGGTTTTCAAATAGAATATTTGATTATGTATGCAGCAAAAAAATGAGACAGTAAGTGATGTGAAGTTCATGTATAACGGTGAGAAAAGGAACAAGAAACTAACCATTTAATCGTTGACGAACCTTGTAACGCCAACATCAAACCAAGATTTTTCTTGAAAATATTTCTCAAAAGTCAAAAATCATACGATTACTATTAACCCTCCATATTATTTGGTATGGATTATTGTAAAAGCATTTCATGATCTTATGTTTCTGAATTTTGAAAGAGATTTTAACTTTATAAAATATGCTTTTCTATAATTATTAATTTTGGATCCTAATACTTTTAGAACAAAACTATAATGATTATATTTTAACTGAAAATTTTGTTAAAGAAATTTTCTTATGTTATGTATACAAAACAGATCAAAAAAGAAAAATAAAATTCGAATATTCTCATGAGTATTCTATACAACGAGATAACTATTAAAAATAATTTTTCTTTTTATAGTTATATGAATTTCTAATTTATCCTATTGATATATATATTGTATTTATAAATCGAAAAAAAAATACACTATGATTTGATTTTTCTTTAGTTAAATCAACTCATAATTCTACTTCACCTGTACTTCAATTACTTGTTCAACGGCTTAAATCTGTTATAAACGAAGAACTTGTTCGTCAAATCAAAACAACATATCAATTTAATATAGCAACATTAGGACAATTTTATCTTGATCTTAAAAATGGTTTATTAAATAAAAAACTATTGAAAATATTTTCAATTTTCATAATTCTTTTTCTGTTTTTTAGATCATGGTTCTTGTGATATCGGTCAATGTCCATTATCATCAATTGATGTTACAATAACATTATCAAATCCCGAAGATTTACGATTATTATCAACTAATGATTCTAATGAACTTGTACAAGCTTATTTAAATCAACGTATTACAATTGATGGATCATTACAAGATGCAATGAATTTAAAATATGTAGCTGATGCTATTCGTCGAGATAATATTCTTCTGTTTAGTCCAACTATTTGAAAATAAATGTTTTCTTTTTTTTCTTTTGTTTGAAAATAAACATATAATAAAGAGTTTTTTTCTTCATTTTTTAGATCATGTTGTCAAGTTTAGTTGCACGTTATCGTATAGTAACTGATCAGTTAATTCGATATACTCAATTTTTATTTTCTTCACCTACATTTGCATTTATTGATCTACCAACAACATTAACAACTCCAAAATTATCTTTACCTGATATGTCAATATTATTAGCACAAAAACATCGTGCAACTATTGAACGTCGTCGTATAAGACGTCATTCAGATTTACCAATGTCATTAATGATTAAATATGGTACACCACGTCAAGATCTACATCAATGTTTAGAATGTGGTACATGGCATGAAAAAAAAACTATATGTGGAAATTGTTATGATCGTATAAGAAAAGAAACTCAAGTTATGAAAGATTCATATCCAAATAAAGATGAATTTAACTATAATCATCCTCAACAAGAAATTGTTTATGTTTATAAAAATGATGAAAAATTTCATGATGATACTAAGCGTATTGTTGAAATTCAACGTGAACGACCAACATGGTTTTCAAAAAATTTAATACCAAAAATAAATACAACGAAATAGAAAAAAGAGAGAATAAAAAAGAAAACTTTTTGTTAGTTTTTGTTATTTAAAAATAAAGATAAAAAAAATGTCTTTTGTTTTTAATAAAGTCGTGTATAATTATCATAAACGTGTGAATCCGGCATCGTTTCTCGTATATGATCTAATTGTTCAAATAATATTCCATAGTCATCTTGATTACATTGTGAATGAATCGATATAACTGGATTTGGTAAATGATTTATTAATTGTTTATAATGAAGTAAATTATAATAATCATCATTATTTTCTTCATCTGTTTCATAATGAATTTCTTGTGGTTGAATACCAATACAAGAAACTGATGTTAGAAGTATTGGTAATAATGATCGATTTCGATTGAGTTTCATAGAACGTGGAGTTGCCGATGAAGTTGATGCTGCATAGTTATATGGACATGTTGTTGTTTGTTCAGTGATTGATAGTCGTCGAATAGGTGGTAATGAAGTTTCTTGTTTAATAAAACATGATTCTTTTTTCTTCAAAACTGGTGGCATAGGAAGACGATAAGATTGAGTTTGTTGTAAATTTATTTTAGGTGGTGTGCTAGATTTTTTCTTTGATGAAACTGTATCATGCATAACAGAATCAGAAGAAAGCGAAGCATGGATTCGACTACGACAAATACTAAATGTTTTACTATGAATTTTTTGTTTGAATTTTTTTTGTGGTTTTGAATTTTGTAAAGAAGAAGTTAATGAATTATTTCTAGTAATGATTGTTCTATCTACTGAATTACTTTGTGGAAATGTTGATGGACGCATTTGAGAACTGGACATTTTTACACGATCATGTAGTTTAGCTTTATTTAAAGATGATGTTCTTTCAGTATTTATTGTATTATTATTTTCTTGATCATCAAATACTTGATTTATTGATGCCTATTATTAAAGTAAAATAGTAAAAGTCAAATTTCATTGTAAACAAATATGTTATTTATGATTGATTTTGTTTTTTCTTGTAAAAATCCTATTCATAAATAAATTAGGTTATGTCTTTTTTTTTAATATAATTAGTGGAAATACCAATGTATATCTTATGAAATTAGAAGAGAAAAAAAACAAGTATTCTTTTATCATATTGAATTTAAAAAAAAAAAGTTTTTCCATAATTTTATAGCTAATTGAGATGCTAGAAATCCTAATTCTTTTTTTTTATTTAAAATAAATAAATTATTCATTACTTCTCCGAATGGTTGATTGTATGTGTTTGTTTTCGAAGCTACGAGTTCAATACGTCTTTTATGTCTGATCTTCATTAATTTTCGTAAGTCAATTAAATCTTGTTGTATTAGTGAACGTAATGCATTAGTTTCAATAGAATTTTTATCATTATTTTCTTTCATTGCTATTGTTATTGGAATCATATAATCTTTGACATCACTAGATTTTGGTTCTACAATTTGTTCTTGTACTATTGGTGTAGTATCAAGAATAGGTAATGGAGTATCTGATTTTGAAGGTGAAGAAGAATCATGTTGAACAGTTGTTGCTACTTCATGCCAATGTCGCTTTAATGAACGATAACGATGTAGCCTTTCAGTCACACGCATATTAAAATATTGTAATGGAGGTGTTGTTGATGGTGATATATATGAAATAAGAGGACTTTGAAATAAATTTTGAAGATCTTTCATATTAGATGATAAATGCCGAGGTGAACAAGGTATCGAAGCCATTTTATTACTTACTAACATCGTTTGATTTTATCTAGACAAAATAAATATTTTGTTATATAAAAAAATAAATCTGATTCATTCAGTTTACAGCTGACTTTAATATATTGCAATATATTTAAGATCAAAGATATAAATTATCAAAGATTATTAATGTATTTTCTTTTCAGATGACAAGCGCGTAGAAAGAAGTGTAAAAATAAAATGCAACGTAGCTTTATGTGAGAAGTATGTGTTTTTCTATTTAAATTAATTTTGATACAATACGCCTATGGACTATATTTGAAATGTGTGAGGAAAAAAAAAAAGAGAAAAACAAAGAAAAGAAGACTTTCATTTGAAGGGCATTGACTCTGTAAACAAAAGACAGAATAACTCTTCAAATATGATCTATACGTCAGACTATAATTCATAAAATTTAATGACACTATATTTGATATATTTTTTAATTTATTTCTTTTTTTTTTTTTTCAAGTGTATAACTTGATTGAAATTGGATATTTTGAAAAAAAATAATTTCATCGAAGTGCATTGTTTTTTTTTTCTTTTGCAGATATTATCGAAATAAAAACTTATTTGATTAATTTGAAATAATGTCTAATGTCAAGAATAGAATTAAAAGAAAAAAAGATTCAGTAACAAATGAAAAAGAAAGCGTTGTTCAGACAGTCATGAGCAAGTAAGAAAATAAATTTTGATTATTCAATAAAAGAAAATAATTTTACTTTTAGATATTTTGAAAAAAAAAGTGAAGAACAAAAAGAAACAATAAATTCAATGGAAAATGATATTAAGAATATTAATGAAGCAACAAATGTTGTTAAGTAAATATGAATATATATGAACAATAAAATATTATTTAATATAATTAACAGCAAAAAAAAAATGATGTTATGACAGTCTCATGAAAATAAAAGAATGAAAAAAGATCTCCTTGAATTCTGCTCTATAGGTATAACTTGAAAAATTAGCCGAGAGCTGTTGCATAGCAACTCAAGTATGTCGAAGCCACAAGCGAGTCTTATCTTCTACATTCTTGCATCCAGAAGTATGTTTAATTATACGAGAATAAAAAAAAGTGAATACAAAGTCGAAGATTTTCGATTGTCAACATGTTTATAGTAAAATTAAAAATATTAATAGACTTGCTTTTGGACGTATGAAATACTTCGAATAGGAATATTTGGTAACGAATGGTGTGAATGCACTGATAAATTAATTGCCTTGAAATGATTTCATTAATATCATGTTATTTAAAACATTCGATCTAAGATTTTTTTTCCTCGTTCAGAAAAACAGTCAATAGTCATCAAAAAAATGGAAACTGAAATGATAGTCCGAGCTCTGCTCTTTCATAGACGACATCATTTTTCTTTTAATAGCCATCTTGTTTTATGCCATAATCTATGATGATTTTTATTACATTCTACTTGAAAAATATGCTTTTTTTTCATCGTGTATCCAAGATTCTCGAAGAAATTTTATTGTAGCTCATTGCTTTTTTTTTGTTTGAAAGACTATGTGAAGCTGCAAAACCTCTCAAAGCGCGTTTTTTGAATTAAGTTTTTTCCATTATTGTATAAAAAAAAAATATCTCTATAAATAGATTACCATTTTTTGAGAATTTTTCGAGGCATTGAGCTTGTGATCCTTTTTCTCTACATATAAAACATGAATTTTAAAAAAAAGCACTGCAATTTAACATATTCTTTTCAATAGAAAAGAAAATTAAATCTATAGAATGGCAGCGTACAGAGAATTTTGCATTATCAAATGACTGGCTTTTGATCCTTATTGATTGAATATTTCCCAAAAATATCATGAGATAGGACTGAAAATTTTATCATAGCCTTTCCATTACAGTTGCAATGTATCTTGACAATTTCATGCAATTTGAATGTATGTGACCCAAGATCGATTTTTTCGAGATAGGATGTAAACTTAATTACATGTTAAAGTTTAAACAAACTGTTCGCACAATCCTTGCACGATTAATACGATGTAAATTCTGTTTCTAATCTCAGAAAATTGCTTTATTCTATCTATTTTGAAACGTATTTCTTCATTATCCTCTTGTGCTTAATCCTTCAGAAATGTAATAAGAAAGTAATTCATGTATGATAACAAGATGTTATTGATTTCTAAAGTTTGATCGTATAGTAGCAACGTTTATCACGGTCTGAAAAGGACAGAAGCAAATGAGTTCAAAATTATGCATCTATACTTCAACACTCGTGTTTTACAAAGATATATCTAGGTATATTATTGTGTACATTAACTTCCTGTTCCATATAGTTAGGACCGAATGTTCATTTCAAGCGGGATACGTCTAGTTGTTATATTGAGACGCGAGATAAATCTGGAATTTATACATTGATTTCGTTGATGTAGCTAAACTTAAGTTTATAAAACAATAACTGTGCTATAAAAGAGAGAATGTATTTTATTCAATTGAATATTAATAATGAAAATAATTCGGTGTTTTTATTTTAATAGAAAACGACGGAAAGTAGTTAATGATGATGGAAATGATCGAAAATGGGAACCACCTCATTGGAAGGTATTTCATTTCAAATATTTACTCAATATTTTATCTTATTTTGTTTGCAAGGAACATTGGGCTAATATTTTAGCGATGCGAATAACAAATAAACATTTAGAACCTCGTGGTTGTGATACTATCGGTGAAACAATTGCTGATGAAAAAGTCAGTTTTCTAGTATTCTTTTACTTGTTTTTCTTGATAAACTGAAGAAAAAAAAATCATATACATGAATAGATTCGTCGTCTACATATTCTTGTTAGTTTAATGTTATCTAGTCAAACAAAAGATACAATGACAATTGCAGCTATGGATCGTTTACTTGAACGTGGATTTACTGTTCAATATGCACTTGACATAGATGTTGATGAATTAGCAAAAATAATTTATCCAGTTGGTTTTTGGAGAGTAAGAGAAACAAAAGAGAAATTTTTTCTTAAATCTTTTTGTATTGGTTTTCTTGTTCATTTTAGCGTAAAGCTCAATATATCAAAGATACATGTCAGATATTACGTGATACATATAATGATGATATTCCGAATACAATCGAAACTTTATGTGCACTACCAGGTTAGTTACATCGTCATATAAAAAGACAAACATAAATTTATTATTTATAGGTGTTGGTCCAAAAATGGCTTATTTAGGTAAATTATTTCAGTGAACTCATTAACTTTTTATGTAATCCAAATAGCATGAATTTTGCAGTACTGATTTTCGACGATTACAAAAAGTTTTTCAATAGATTTGGAGTGTGAGTGCAGTGAATACTCACACTCACACTACAATTAGTGGATTTATGACTTGATTCAGAAGTTTGAGCATAGTCAAATCTTGTATGTTTCTTTTTTGATTTTTTTCGCTCAGCAAAACTAAACATTTAGTAATCACCGAAGATCAACTGCGAAGTTCATATTTCTGTGAAACATGATCTAAAAGTAGTGTGGAAATATAATAGTAAAATTTTAAACTTTCGTCTGTTCAAGTTTCGTCACAGACGTTGTTGATTCATAATTAAAAAAAAGTATATCAATAACGCCTCATGAAAAAATATGAACTACTTTCTTATTTCATTTCTGAAAAATCAAGCAAAAATATCCTGAAAAAATGTGTTCCGAAATTAGATTGAACAAAGAAACTTTCTATGATTAACAACAGCAGCTAAATCGTGTTTTACATTTCAATCCCGCAAAAATCGTGCTAAAACACTTCGTTTTTCATTTTAATTTTAAGCTATGGATTTTGCTTGGAAATCTAATCAAGGTATTGGAGTTGATGTACATGTACATCGTATATCACATCGTCTTGGTTGGCTACCATATGATACAAAAACACCAGAACAAACACGTTTAGCACTTGAATCTTGGGTACCGAGGTAAGTTATTTTATATGATAAAATAATTTTAGTATTTTAAATTAAATTTATTTTTAGAGATTTATGGAATCAAATCAATCATAATATGGTTCGTTTTGGTCAAACACAATGTCTACCAGTTCATCCACGATGTTCAACTTGTTTAAATAGAAATATATGTCCAGCTAGTACTAGTAAAGATACAACAAAAAATTTAAAATTAAAATAAATTCTATTCGTTTGTTTGTTTGTTTTTCATTCTTATTGATCGATGTATAAAGTCAAAACATGTATTTATTTTAAAACTAAATGAAACCTAGAAGAAATAAAGATATTTATATTTTACAATTTTTATACTTGTCAGCCTTATCTCTATATTGTTGTTTTTGTTCTTCATTACGCTTTTTGAAGAGCATTTGAGTGCAAAGATAGTAGGATATTCGTCATAATAAAAAAAGAAACGTCAGTCAGAGTTTGAATAATACGTTATCGAATGGAATAGAAGATTTCGTAAGTTTCTCTAGTTTTGTAGCATTTTATTTGACAACAATGTATTGCTTTTATATTTCGAGCTTTGTCAATATTATTTTAACTATGACTGCATTGAAAGAAAGAAAAAGAAAAGGGAATTCGTATGCATTTCTGCTAGTGAACTCAAACGAAACACATTGCTTTCACCTTGGTAATCGCAGACATTACAGCAGCGACTTGCCATTTCTTATTAACGTCGATTTCGACAAATAACGTTGTAGAAAGAAAATGTACGTACACCTTTATAAATCATCTATTATGAAAAACTTGAAATATGCAACATAGTCTCATATGAGTTATTTTTTTTTTTTGTTACAATAGAAAAACTAAAATTATTTTTTCTTTCTTATCATTGAAAATCACATGACGGCTAAGGTGATTAGATATATATATATATATATAATAACAACCTGAATAAAAAGAAAAAGATGAAAATATTTATGGCAAACAGTTCTACTGTTATTGAATGTAAAGAAAAAAAAAAAATAAGAACAAAATTTATTTTTCTTTAGTTCAATTTTATTCTGATTGAAATCAATAAAACAAATTATTATTGTCAGATTTAATAGAAATAATGTTGAACACAACACGTTTTACTCATTATCTTCCTACATTTTCATTTACGTTTGAATATAATATTCCATATTATCTTCAACGTCTTCATATTCGTGCAAAATCAGCATTTATATCTCTTCAAGATATGCCACGTTATCCATTACGATTTAATCAAGTTCCATCACTTTTTTGTGAACCTTTTATTTTACGTGGTTTTCGTTCTATTCATCAACCATGGTCTTATTATTTCAAATCTTTATTTCATAAACATAATGAAACAATTAATGTTTGGAGTCATTTAATAGGAATTTTATATATGGGACATTTACTTTTTTATTATAATACAAGATTAAATTTTTATGAAAATTCACATTCATGGCCATTTGCTGTAGCATTATGTACAGCAATAATCATGTTTATGTGTTCTGCATTTGCTCATTTATTTCATTCAAAATCTGAAACAATTCATATGACATGTTTTTTAATTGATTATATTGGTGTTAGTCTACATGGTTTTGGTTCGGGTTTTCTTCATATTTATTATTCTGCACCACATTGGTATTATGAAAAAATTGAATATCAATATGTATTTGTTCTTCTGATACTTGGAATATTCGCTTGTTTTCTTAATTGTTTTGCACAATATTATTATCGTCGACCATATCCACCCATAAAACGTATTTGTCAATTTTTTCCATGTGGACTTTTATGGATTTATACTATTATTCCATTATGTATACGTTTATATTCATCAAATATTTTATCAAATCCAGCATTAATATGTCATTTAGCACAGATTATTTTATTTCTTATTGGGGCTACTCTTTTTGGTTTTGATTTACCTCAACGTTTTTGTCCTGGTGTACTTGATTTTATTGGACAAGGTCATCATTTATTTCATTTATGTGTTTATTTTATTACTATTTGTCAAATGCATGGTGTCTATTGGGATTATGAAGAATTTCAAAAAATAATTGATCAACGAAGTAAACCCGAATTAATATTTTGTGCTGGTTCAATGTTTTCTCTCATAGCATGGGATTTTGTTATTGTTTGTTTTTTTCGACGAAAACTTCATAAAAAATATCATATGCATTAAAAAAAAGTTTAGAATTTCATAGAATAAACTATCAATCGATTTGTATTGAGTCGAAGAAAATAAGATAAATATAAATTTGGTCATTTTTTTTTGTACTCATAAAAAATGTAAGTAAAAAAAAGCATTGATGCCAGCAAAATTTTAATTTTTACTTATTGGTTACTGTTAAGTACTTAGATGAAAAAAAAAGCATGTAAAAATTTTCTTTCTTTTATTTCATTTGAAAGTGAAAATTTGATATCAATAATGAATTATGCAAATATGAAAAAAAAAATGAGAAGAATGAATTTCAAGTCACACATTTTATTTGAATAAGAAAATTAACAGTAAGAATAAGCAGATCTGAAATTCATCGAATATTTGTTTATGAAAGGCTATAGTCCAAGATAGAGAATAATATTTAACTTTGCATCAGTAACGATTGGCTTATATATTTACATAGATACCACGTTTTTTTCTTTCTTTCTTTTGTCAAGTAATAGAGATAACAGTTTTCTATTTTTCTTTTTCTTTACCAAATTCGATCGTTCTTTTCTTTTTTTTTTGTCTATCGATTCATATGATGTCTTGCACATCACAATTTCCGAAATTAAAGATATTTCGAACAATATGGGGTGCTGAAAGTCAATTTTCATCAGATATTAATGTTTTATTCAGTGAACTTCATCGTCTTGGTTTCGATGGTATTGAAGCATCACTGGATGACATTCATCGTTTATCAAAAAATAACGATGAAATTTTCATAGAAACATTATCAAAAAATAAACTTGAATTAATTGCAATTTGTTATACAAATTGGGCTGATTTTGTACCTGAAACATGGCAAGATTTAACTGTTGATGAACATTTAAATAATTTAAAAAGAGAACTAGAACAAGCTATGAAATATAATCCTATTCATATTAATATTCATGGAGGACAAGATAATTGGACAATTGAACAACAAGAAGCATTTTTTCAAGGAGCATTAGAACTACAAGCTAAATATCCAAATGTAACATCATCACATGAAGTTTGTTTATTATTCTATTAATTTTTATTACAAGATAAAAAAATATGGTATTTTCTTTTTTATGTAGACTCATCGTGGTCGTTCTCTATTCAATCCAGCACTCACATTACATTTAATTTCTCGTTTTCCAAATCTTCGTTTAACTGCTGATTTTTCACATTGGTTAGTTGTATGTGAACGTCTTCTTAATCATCCATCTGATGCAAAACGTATGCGTCAAATAATATCACGTGTTGATCATATTCATGCTCGAGTAGGTTCTGTTCAACATGCTCAAGTTCATGATCCTCCTATTAATGCACCAAAAGAAACTCAACTTATGCAAAATTGGTGGGAAATGATTTGGACTGAACATATGAAACAAGGTAAAGCAATAACAACATTGACACCTGAATATGGACCAATACCATATGCTATGTCAAGTGAAATTGATATATGGAAATTAACCAATCAAGAAATGGAACGACAAAGAAATAATTATCAACAGTGGATTGTTCACAATCAAGATTAATATGAGATTCTAAAGAAAAAAATAATCATACAAAAACATTTTTGATAAATCGACATATTCGATATAATTAAATATGATAAAGTTTATTGCAGAATTATGAAAATTTTCGGGAAATCTTATTTATTATATAGTAGAAGTAATTATATTAGAAATTTATATTTTACTATAGAGTAAATCTATCCTATCTTATGATCATTTCTTTTTATGCTTCTCATTCATATATATATATGTATAAATATTGTAGATCTCATTGTTTGTCACTGTTGTTGTGTTTCAGATTGAAATAAAAAATTTTTCACATACTGATAGCAAGATAGTGTTTCCAAATTTCCTTCTAGAATTATCTCAATAAAGAGAGATCCAAAACTCAATACTTTCATTAATAGAGATAGCTTTTGTGTAAAAGAACTAAAGTGAACGGGCATGTCCAATTCATTTCGAATTATTCTTTTAAGCTATGATTCGTATTATTGATAGTAAAATTTAATCATCATAATCATTACAATGGAATATAAAATTCTACGATTTACAATAAATAATTCTTCTAAAAACAAATTATTCAATCTATATACTATTTCAATTAGATATCTTTGTAGTTCAATCTTTCGATGGCAACAATTCTTTTCTCATTGGTGCTTAATATGGATTTCATAATGAACATACTTATAATCCACCCAGACCAGATGCATATTAATCTATTAATCAATTGGAATACTGAATATACGATGATTGTAAACTCTAGAGATGCACTAAAGATAGTAAGTGAGATGTCATAGATATTGCTCGAAGTTACTATAAATAAATCAATAAATTATAAAATGATTCGATTATTAATAAAGAAGAAGTTGATAATAATTAGTGCAAGTATCGTTTCGTGTCGGTAAGACAATTTTCATTAAAATATGATTTTTAAAAACATTAGATATAAAAACAACAACAAACTTTTCAAATCCACATGTCAAAATAATCATCGTGAAGCAGTTTGGTAATGCGTTTCCTAAATAGTTGATTCATTTAATTGTACACCTGATCATCTTAACGTCATTTTGGTTACAAGGGAACTACCTCTATTGTCATATACTATTTGGGCTCATATTGAGCCTACATAGAGATCTAAATAAGACTAGAAAGAGTTTAGAAGGAAAGTGTCGATGTAGATGTGCATATATGTCTTTTTCTCAGCCATGAGCTCGCATCCGCAATTACACCAACATTTTTTGCAGAAATGATCAAGTTCCCTTCCCCCAATTTCTTTAACAAAATAATCAATTTTAAAAAAATTTATATTTTCAACTAAGCTAGAATAAAAATACAAAAAGAAAAGATTTGTAGGTTCGTTTGAATATCATTTATTTAACCATATTCTTCTTTTCAATAGGAACAGGACAATTTTCATACAATTCTTTTTCAACCATTTTAATCATCATATCAGATTTTACAAACCATGGTACCACACGTTGTTTTATTGAATGAGAAAATAAACCCAGATAACGTGACATGTTTACAACACATTTTGTTCGATTAAAACGTTTTCTATAATATTCTTGAAATGCTGGTTCCATTTGAAAATTATATTTTTCTAAACACATTGCAAGTGATATAGCATCTTCAATTGCCATATTTGCTCCTTGTCCAACATAAGGTAATGTTGCATGACATGAATCCTCTAATAAACAAATTCTATTACGATGCCAACCATCACTACGATGTTGACGATAATATAATCCAAAATGAAGCAAACGTTGTGGATCTGTTGCTACTACACATTGATGAATAGGATGTGATTGAGGGAATCTTGTTAAAAATCGATTTAATTCACGTTGATTATTCATTTTTGTCCATTCAGCATCATCATTTATTGATGGAGGTGTAACTGGTGGATACGTAGCAGCTCACATTAATTGTCCATTATTACCAGCTCGATAACTAATAAATCCTCCGCTGCCAAAACATTGTGTTAATGTATTTTTTGCTGTTATTATTGAATTAATAGATGTTTGTTGATCGATATTATCTATTATGCCATAGAAAATATTTTCTTTTGAATGTATTGCTGGAGCCGTTTGAGTAAAGATATGTTTAACGACTGTTGAATATATTCCGTCTGCACCGATAACCATATCAACTCGAACTTGTTTTTGTTGTTTTTCATTGTCAAATGAAATTGTAACACCATCATTATCTTGTTTAATATCAATCATATTATGGGAATAACATAATATATCATTCTTTTCTAGAGACTCTTTTAATGTATCAACAAGTTCAGAACGCAGAGCACCACCCAAAAAATAATCGAATAGTTTTTCCATATTCGGCTAATTTATTCGATATAGCCACTACTTCACCATTTTCATTAATAATTTGCCATTTAAAGAAAGGATGAAGAATGTTTTGGATTTGATCTTTAAATTCGATATGAGCAAGTGATATCTGTCCATTAGGCTGAAGACCAAATGCTGCTCCAGCTGTTGGAATAAAATAAGGAGCACGTTCATATAATGAAACGGACATTCCTATTCGTTTTAAAGCATTAGCAACAGTCAAACCACCAATACCACCACCAATTATGGTCACTGAATGAGCTGTTGCCATACTTACATCGAATTATTTCGTATGTTTAATTGTTTCTCTAACACCGAGAGAAAGAGTATATATATTACTTTTATAATTTATTGGACGATTTTTAGAAACAAAATTATTCTTATGTAATGATTTTAATGTTTTTTTGTCATTTTAAAACATGATGTTATTTTGAATCCGAGTTACTATCGCTTTTATGAAACTCATATTTTGCAACATGTAACATGGTTGTGTATCTCATCATTGAAAATGAGATCGCCAAATGCCTTTCGATCATTTATATTCATGAGTTTCGTTTCAGCGATGATTCCTTACATTCACTCTTTCTGAATACTTATGATATACATTCATATATATTTATATATATACTCTAAGACAGTGTAACAATGGTGCAGACGGGAAAAAAAACTCGCAAGTTGCGTAAAAAAATTGTGTATTTAAAGAGAAACGACAACGTTTATGTTCATTGAAATGCGGCTTTCAAAAGAGTAGATTCTGATCTAGTTTACTCGAAAAAAATTTTATGATAAATCTGAAATATTTCAGAAAAAGAAATATGCTGTATTGTGACACTCTGCACTGTTGAAAATATTTACTAGACATATAATATTGGTCATCAAAGACGAAGAAAAATTTTTGTTTATTTTAGTTAATCTGACTCAAGGTTTTTCGTATGAGACTTGTTCGCTTGTAAGAAAGGATCTTCATTTCTATTCATTATTGATGCATGAACTAATATTTACCTGTACAAAACTCAGCGGTCTTGTAAAAAGCATTTTCTAAATCTGTTGCAGCGTAAAAGTGTTTGAATCTATTCTAGACTACGAAACATGAATCTAGAGCAGGCTTAAACCAAGCCAAATTTTATGGCTTCACTGCTTATGTCTATTGGATACGTGCTAAGACTGAATAAAATGTACACTAATCTTGTAACATCGTGTTATGTGTCAAAAGAACATGAAAGTTAAGCAATAGTAGAAAGTTTTTACATTAGATAAAGCATATCGAAACCGTTTATCGATGCAATATAAGGTTGGTTCGAGTCTACCTAGGCGTCGTGACTGCGCCGTCTATGGATAAAATGTCACTTTTAAGAGCAAAATTTGAACATTCTTGAATAAAATTTTTTGTTGATAATTGTTTTCTTAAGGGGGAACCCCCCCTTCGAAAGTCGTTTTTTCCTTGAAAAGTC